CGTGGTCATGAATCTGGTGTCTCAGCCGCTGAGCAGCTAGTGTGAAAGGGAATTTCCACTTCCAGGTGTGTTGCCTAGCGTGAAGATGAAGCCTTTCAAAGCGTAGGATGAAGGATGAGATCCATTGCAGCTTGCAGACGTAATTAACTGTCCTTGTAAGCAGCGTGGTCATGAATCTGGTGTCTCAGCCGCTGAGCAGCTAGTGTGAAAGGGAATTTCCAGGTGTGTTGCCTAGCGTGAAGATGAAGCGGCGATTGTGCAGGTTCAATGATGGTGCTGGTCGTGTGTTACCATGCACAATACATCGGGGTCTGCTGTTAGTAGTCTGACGACGTTAGTTGTGCAATGGACGTCCGTCTGAATATCGTACGTGTAGCGCCAGAGCACGTAACGGTGGTGGTGGACTGGAATGTGCTTGAGAAAGAAGCAGTTCACACTGACTCTGTACTGCCCTGTGCCATGCTATTCTAGTATTGCCTGTAGCCAAGACACAAGAGAATCCAGAACCGCCGCAGATGTAGAGGCAGAGGCGGTGGAAATGTTTGCCGGAGAGCAGAGGCTGGCATGTTGCTACGCTACATCATCTGACTGATCATGTATGTGAGCTCCCGATGTCCCCGCCGTTAGTAGCTTATGGTTGACACCCATGTGTGTGTTCAGCGGAGCTCCCGATGTCCCCGCCGTTGGTAGCTTATGGTTGAAACCCGGCATGTGTGTGTTCAGCGCTCTGGAACATGTGGACATACATATACATGTACTCACGGCATTGCAACCTCGGGCCGCCACTGGAATCAGACCGGCAATATTGCAGTGCGCCAATCGCCAGTTCGTAACGACGACGGATGTCGAGTATACATCAAAGCGCTCCGGCACTGCACTTCGCTAGTCATTAGTGTCGTGTGAACATGCGGCCAGTCGCGTTGCACCGATTACGTCTACGCTGTGGTGAAGCACCCCAGAAATAATTACTCAACGCCTGCTATTCAACAGTGCAGTGAATGCTGTGTGCAATGCACAGACTACTGGGCCGGGTGCCTGTACATCGACTACATCTCGCTGATGACAAGCGCGTGCAGGATGCAGCACTGTAAGACCTGAATGTTTGCCGCACCCTGTACCAAGCGGAATCCTGTATTGACCGGACAAATTTGTCATGCACCAACGTGCTGTGGATCGAACTTGCATCCCTGGATCAAGCGGAATCCTGTCATATGAGGACAGTGTTTCCGCTGCACCAAGGGCGTCCGGTTAGAGCAGGTTTTACAGGACATGCTTCTATTTGATCCCGATCTGCCATCGTCTGCAGCGTCTTCATTTGTCTCGGAAGCTGCATTCGCCGGCATCGGAACAATGCAATGCTTGTTGTTGAGTACCAGAATGGTTGCAGGGGGATGTACGCGGTCTGGAGAAATCGAGATTGAAACTGACATGGCATCTGACCTTTTTTTCGAAATGCTCCACTTTATCATGAGGGTGCCACTGTGGCTCGGCATGGTGCAATGCAACAAGTGATACTTTTTTTGCTGTTTTTAACTTATACCAATCAGGCTATTGGTTTGATTTTTGTAGATTGCACCGTTCTTTCCTCTTCAGTTGCAATGAATCCTTCCGTTTCGCCTAAGTTCAATGGGTTTTTTTGTACTAACCGGACTCGTTATAACGATGGAGGACCTGTATCTGGGGAACTTTGACACATACTCAAACTAACCATGCCCGGTTGCTTCACGCACCCGACAACCTATGGGTATATGTGGTATACTGTGCTCGGTTTTGCAACTGCACGCACAACCGAGCTCTGTCCAGTGCTGCGATGGCAGAACTTCACATCACGTACTGTAAGAATTTGTTAGAATTTCACTTCGCTAACCTACAAAAATCCGGAGATCGCTAACTTAGATTGACGTTAAAATATCTGGTCTTACAGTAACATCGCTCATTAACTGTTAGGTTACGCTGGAAAACAGCTAGTGCGAAGTGGCCAGCAGAGGGTTGAACCCAAAACATGCAGGATTGTGTGCAACCCTGTATCTACCGCGCTGCTCAATGAAAACTGATCAAGTGAGTCAGCGTTGCGCCCTGCACGAGTGAAGATCACAGTAGCAGGTCACGTAGGCTATAGGGTTGCACAGCGCCCGGTGAATACTTGACTCAAGCGATCGGATTTCATTGAGCAGCACTGCATCAAGCACTGGATGCAAACAATGTGTACGGGTTTATCAAGTGATGTTAAGTTCTGCTGTTCTGTCCCCGGGGAAAATTGCGGGAAAAAATCGCAAAAAACGCGGGGAAAAACGCGGCATAATATGGCATAATTTGCGGTGAATTTGCGGTAAATATGCGGTAAATATGCGGTGAATGCGGCAATTTTCAGTGAGTATGTAGTGAAATCAATCAGTTACAAGTCTCTGGTGTATAAAGCACCCATTATTTGAGTAAAAAGCCGCCACGATGAGACGTTGCTGACCGAAAAGTGCACTGTGTGTACGTGTAGTGCAACAAAAAGTTCAAAAAACGCGGGAAAATCGCGGAAAACGCGGTCTTTTAAAAAATCGCAAAAAACGCGGAAAAAAACGCGGCCGCGGAATCGCAATTATCTTCGGGGACAGGCTGTTGCAGACACGATGCTGGAATTGCGCACTCATTGGTTTACATGCGCAGTGTTGCTGGGTGAACTGATGGCGATGTGCACTTGCAGAATTCAAAAGTTGCTTGTCCACAATGCCTGCAGTGCTCATACACTCTTGTTTACCTGTAGCGGCATCAATAAAATCGGCCCGTGTGCCTCTAACAGAGCACATCGGTCTGAATTTCACGTGCCACACATGTGTACTTGTGCAGTGAATTCCGATCGCGAGTTAGCTACAGTCAGACCTCGCTTCCGCACACATCCGTTTTCCACAAAAATATCCGGATAGGCGAGGGAACCGGGCAATCGAACACATGTACTGTATGTATGCATGGCATATGCTGTAAATTGGTAACGGGCGATTTTCTTCCGGATGGCGAGGGATCCGGATAAGCGAGGTCTGACTGTATTGTAGTACCCCTGGCTGCAAACGGTGAGTGCGTTCGATTACACACTTGAATCGATTCATGAATCCATTTGCATGCATTCAAGTCGTTCGATTTCATGTCATGAGCCCTGGAATCGATTCGGAATCCATTCACATGGGGTGATGTGAATAGCGCGAATCGATTGCGTGCGTAATCGAACGCACTCACTGTGCTAGCGTACTCATGGTGGGATCAATTTTTCATGTGCAGTGCCGCTCAATGAAATCTGATCGTGTGAGTTTGGTTTGTGCCTTGCACCCGTTCACAGGTCTGTACACCACCTTGCGCGTACATGTAGTCCGCTCATGTGATTGGATTTCATTGAGCCCCACTGTAGCTCTGTCCACAGTAACCATGGCAGTGAGACTCAGTTGGCCATCCATCCTGAAAAATTTGGGCATGAACCTGTGCTCCCAGGCCATTTTTTGCCAAAAAAAACATCCATCCTGAAAAATTTGGGCATGGACCTGTGCTCCCAGATCATTTTTTTGCAAAAAAACCATCAAAACACAAGAATGTACCTAGCCATGCAAAGCATGGCCTTCTCAAGCTTGGCAAGTAATCCTAGAACTATTGGAGAACACACAGCAATTCCAAGCTTGAGGTATATACCTATGCTAACCAGCGCAAAGCATGGTCTTCCCAAACTTGGGGCATGAGCCTACGCTAACCAGCACAAAGCATGGTCTTCCCAAACTTGGGGCATGAGCCTACGCTAACCATCGCAACGCGTGGTCTTCCCAAGCTTGGCCAATAACCCTAGATATGAGAGGAGGACAAACACAAATACACTCCAAGCTTGGGGAATAATCCTATGCTAACCAGCGCAAAGCATGGTCTTCCCAAACTTGGGGAATAAGCCTACGCTAACCAGCGCCAAGCATGGTCTTCCCAATCCTGGGGCATGAGCAGCAAGAACATACATAAGCACACAGACAAACATTACCACTGGCACCACACAGCATCAGAGAAGACATGACCAGTCCGCCGTCCTGTGTGTAGGCAAGCACAGGCCGGAGCAACTGGCACACTACTAGCACTACAGCATGCAAGCAGTCCGCACTCTGCCGGCAAGCATCCATCAGCTCACCGGGACGCCGCCGGATGGCATGCAATCATGCAGCACCACGGTCACGGGCAAACACCAGAGAACACACACACTCGTGTGAGACATGCCTGTGCATGGATGCGTGCCGCGGGCACGAGTACAGATGTGTACGGTCGGGTTGGTCTTGAAAAGACCGGTGAAGCACCTTATTTTACTAGGCACTCGAAACAAATAGTCCTACGAGATCTTTCATTTCTACACCATTTTCAGCCACGGGCAAAAGCAAACCCGAGAGTCACTATTTTTTTCAACCGAAGCAATGTGAGCGAGAGTTGACGACTGCACGGAGAAATGGCCGAGAGAATGCCGCAGATGGAAAGATCATGACAGGCAAATATGACAGCACGAGAGTGGCATAAAGGCACGTGTACGTGACGAGGTGCGTGCACGAGTGAGTGTATGGGTAGCGGAGTGCGTGTATGTCTCCGGGGGCAAGTGGGTGCAATGAACTATTGTGTGAGTGGATGATGACGTGCCATTAGAAAATTAATGCCAAGACAATGGTGATGAATGGCAAATGACAGAGGGAAATGACTACGATCATCTGCCTAAGAGCCAGGTGCTTAAGGTACAGTGGTGATACTGCTGGAAGAGCTGTGGATGAGCATGCAGTGCGTAGCGCAACGGATGGAATCAGATGATGGCCAATGCACGGACGATATCCTTGCAGCAAATTTGAGAATCGATGATGAGTAGCACCTCTGCTTCATGAAAAGTACACTAACCAGTGATTGCATTTTTCTGATAGTGCACTGCTTGCGATGTCGCAGATACCACTGGTCTTATGTCATGCTTAGTGCTATCATATACCACTGTCCCTGCTGATATACTTGCCACCACCGTTACTTTTCTCCCGGCAACTCTTGTCACCTAAGCCACCAGCACTGCCATTTCCGCTGCCATGGCAGGATGCTACGCAGGGGATACACTGTTGCTGAAGCCGCCGTCACTGCAGCTTCTGTCATCGCCGTCGCTGTTGATTCCACCACCAATGCCGCTGTCGCCACTTCCGTCACGTCACCGCAGTTGCAGCCGCCATCGTCGCTGTCTCCGCTGCCGTCACTGCCATCATCACCGCCATCGTCCCTGTCATTGCCCCCGTCGCCACCACTGCCGTTTCAATCGCCGTTGCCGCCATCTCCATTGCCGCTGTCACCACCATCGTCGCCGTCTCCGCTGCCATCACCGCCATTTCCATCGTCGCTGTCACCACCGCCGTTGCAACCACCATTGCCGCCATCGTCCCCGTTGGCGCTGTCACCACCACTGCCGTTGCAATCCCCGTTGCCATCACCACCGCCGTTGCAATCCCCGTTGCCATCACCACCGCCGTTGCCATCACCACCGCCGTTGTCGCTGTAACCGCCATCGTCGCCGTCCCCGTTGCTGCCACTGCTACCGTTGCGTCGCCACTGCTACCGTTGCGTCGCCGCCGTCGTCATGGCCATAGTCGTTACTCTCACCAATGATGCGTCTGTTGTTGTGGTACACCACCATTATAGTCAATGCTACCATCATTGCCGTTTTCTTTGCTGCTGCTGCTGCTGCCTCTGCCAGCACCAGCACTGTTGCTACCACCATCACCACCACCACCTTTGCTTCTACCAGCACCACTGCAGTCACTGTTGCCACCATGCAGCACCACAACCGTCACTACCTCTGCCACCACCACAACCGTCACTACCGTTGTCGCTGCTAACATCACCAGCACCACCACTAGCGTTGCAGCCGCTGCCATTCTGCTACTGCTATTCTAGCAACTCCGCAACCACCGCTGCTGTGTCTGCTGCCCGAGTTCTTGCAACTGTCACGGTTGCACCGTGTTGTTTTCATTACCATAGTTCCTGCCACACATGCTGCTGTGTGTACGGCATCAGTGCGGGGGCACTGCAATGTTAGCTTGTTGTTACTACACGCTATTGCGGACTTGTTTCTAATGCTCCAGTTACCAAGGTCACCATGACATCCGACAGAGCTCGTACACTGCCGCCGACACCGCATTCGCTGGTGACAACTGGCATAGTGACAGGAGTGTCCATGGCTTGGCTGTGGCATGGCATGGCTGACATTGAGGTGGCAGGCAATGGTCTCTGGCACACAAGACTCACACGCACGCACGTAAGCATACACAGAACGAGCCACAATCGCACACGCACGCCCATATACACCAGGATGAGAGTGACATGGAATGACCCTAGTATTAAAAGCGCAGGTCTACTTTTTTCCCTGGTCTACATGGAGAGGTTGCACGTGGTAGCTCACGAACGGCTTACTGGGGATTTTCCCTTTCAGAATGGCTAGGCATAGTAATGTTATGGAACGCCAAATAGAAAATGCTGTCATCACGGCCGAGTTGGGAAGCCATGAGAAGCAGACTAGCGCCACAACGCCCAACTATTCACTTCCCTTATGGTCATCCTACAGTCAACTGGGAACTTGTGGCCAGGCACAAGGGGTACATGGGTGCAGCTAATGGGGTTTCTCGACACTTGTGCCAGTGGTTGTGAGACTTATCCACTCACCCCCACCGTTAGGCGCTGCATCTGCCGCTAGGGTTTACCGGGTGTTAGCGGATGTCGTGAGTTCCCTTTGGGAACGGACACGATAATTTACTTTTCACTTATGGTCATGAAGCCCACTCAGACACAGAAAATTTGCATACATTACCAATCTTTTGGGGGATTGCGTGTGTGTGTGTGTGTGTGCGTTCTCATGCAAGTAACCCCAAAGAAAGAGAAAAAGTTAGTTCTTACCCTGATGACATGGATCCTTGCGTTACCCACATGCTTGGTGTGTCAGTCTTGTGATACTTGATGGAGGTGTTCACAGTGCCCTCGTGTGTTTGGTAGTGGCTAGGATGCACAGGGACACAGGCATAAGAGAGTGGTATATTCATACAGGAGCGTCGGAAGGTAATTTTGTGTGGTACGGTCAGTCATCTGAAGTACAACTCACTCGTGGGGGAGACCGGGTGGATGAGCCCAAAATTATGGAAATTTAGAGCCCAAATCAGTACATTTTATTGATTCACCGGGTATTTGGGGCAAATAGTGGTACGGTCAATACCGTAGTGACCGTACCGTGTGCGACGCCCCTGTCATAAGGGTGAGGATGTCGGAGAGTGTTGTATGGTGAGAGATTCAGAGATACGGCAAGAAAGCCGAAGAGGAAGAAAGAAAGATAGATAGAGAGAGATAGAGAGAGAAAGATGAACAACACCATCACCACCACCACCACCTCTACAACCACCACCAACAAGAACAATAACAAGAACAAGGACAACAAGAACAAGAACAAGGACAACAAGAACAGCAACAGCAGCTGCAGCAACAGCAACAGCAACAGCAGCAGCAACAGCAGCAACAAGAAACAACAAGAACAAGGACAAGAAGAACAGCAACAGCAACAGCAGCTGCAGCAACAGCAGCAGCAGCAACAACAACAACAACAACAACAACAACAACAACAACAACAACAAGGCGATGGTGCCATCGTGAGAATAAAGAATTCAAACAAAAAAACAACAACAACAGCAGCAGCATATCATAAGAATAAGGATTTGAAAGATTTGAAACCAAGAACAACAATAATTATTATAGCAATCCAAGTCACACTTACGCAGAATAATCTGCAGATTCAATGCTGTCTTTACGCACTCCCTGGTCATCCATCAGCACAACACCACTGGCTTCAGATGTCCGCCGCTCTCGATCATTTGCCAATTCAGCAACGGGACGTTGACGCCTGCAGATCCTGCACATGCACAGCAATAACAATGGCACACACACACACACACACACACACGCGCGCACACGCACACACACACAGACACACACAGACACAGACGAAGAGTCAGCATTAAAACCTGCCCGCAGTCATACCTGCATTATTAAGTATGTAACTGTGTTGTTTTGAAAAGGGGTACACGATATGGTACCAATCTATTTCATAGCAATACACTATAAAATTGCCTTTAAATTAATGAGCTTCAAAGGGGTCCAAAATCACCAGAACCCCTTAGGATAAATTCCATTTTAATCTGTAAAAGAATTTCGTGCCAAGAATACTACATGAAGTAGTTGAGAAACGACGGCGAGACCTGTACAGAGTTTTGCTACTTGTATAACAATGCAACCGAGGCAAAACGCGCAAAAAACGGCATAAAATGATAGCGTACGTCATTGAGTGGCTATGAATGAATGACAGAGGGAGTCGTTACCTGTTTTATATGCAGTGATGGCATTGTGGACACATGCACGCGACGGTGACTGCACTGGATGGCGGTGGTAGATGACACTGGCAGATGGCGTTGGCTTGTGACACAAGGAAGTGTTCAGTGCGGTCCACTGAAGGCAATCGTGGTGGAGGCTACACAGGCATACTTTACTATATATTTTCATATTCTCTTTATCTATCATTTTTGGAGAGACTCCCAAGAGAGGTCTTCATTTACCTCTGGAGAATCCAGACAATACAAAACAATTCACATGTGTGCCAATGTGCAGCAGACATCTAGTTTGTGACAGCGGTCTAGTGGTGGTGGTGCTGATGTCAGACTGCATCAAACACTGAGCACCGCCCAGTGACTGGTCAGACCATGGCAATCAATGGCAATGCGTATGTGCACAGCACCACCACCACCACCACTAAAAGCAGCAGCAGCAGCGGCAGACACAGACCTACACAAATACACACAGGGTTGTGCCTAAGGCCGTGGCTATGGCATTCATTCATGACTATGACTGAGTGATTGACTGACTGACTGACTCGGGTAACAGATGGTAACAGGTGCTGACAGGAAGGTTAGTAAATGAACCCTACTGCACTGGCTTGTGGTGGGACCCAAGATAAGGGAGAACCCCTCCTCCATGCGTGACAGGATGGCAGCATGCAAGTATGACCCAGTAAACATGCGTATGGTGAAGTCCCCCTACCCAATATTCAGTGTGTGCATGGGAAGGAGGGTGGGTAAGCCCAATAGTGATCTTCCCGGGTGGTCTATTTCCCGGTACACCCCAGGGAAGCACTATAAAGGCATGCAGGTCAGCCACAAATAGGGGATATGGGGCAACACTGTCCCCGACAGCCAGCTAACTTGACTGAGGTCCACAGGGCTCAGCTAATCACATAGTTGCATCAATGTGAAGGCAACCATGACATGCACCACTGCCATTGTGACCCCTAAAGAAGGGATTCCACCATTATTATTTTCTTCTTCTTCTTTTTTTCTGTGTGTATGTGAGTGTTTGGGGGGGGGGGGGGGGCATGCCAAGATGCACTAGTGTCAAACTGCATTGGTATGGCTGCACAAGAATATGCTTGTTCCCTGGACAGAGTCCTGTGCATCCTGGAAACATCAGAGCTTGCTGCAGCCATACACTGTCTGATGTGGGTCAACAGCAGGAGATCCCCGGTCCCGTCCAACGGCATCAGGGTCAAAATTCAGAGCACAACATGCAGTTGAACAATGACTTGGGATGGCAGGAAGACAAAAAGACAATGATTTGGGATGGAATGTGAGCGCAGTGACATACTCGACGAGACATGGCATGACACGCATATACGCAGTGAAAGGAGGCGAGCTCCAACAGTAGAATATCCCAACCGGAATTGATAACTGACAGCGATATATTTTTTCGAGATGGCATTTTAGTGCGCATAGATCATGGTGTCACAGAAAGAAAGCGAGAGAGAGAGAGAGAGAGAGAGAGAGAGAGAGAGAGAGAGAGAGAGAGAGAGAGAGAGAGAGAGAGAGAGAGAGAGGGAGATAGATAGATAGATAGAGAGAGAGAGAGGGAGGGAGAGAGAAAGAGAAGAGAGAGAGAGAGAAAGAGAAGACAGAGAGAGAGAAAGAGAGAGAGAGAGAGAGAGGGGGGGGGGGGAAGAGAGAACACAACACGGCGCCACAAACTCAACACCTGTTCGATAAAAAAAAGCAAAGTAGCCAGGGCGGCTAAACACCAGAGGTACATGCTGAGATCGGTAACTTTGTAATGGTACAAACAGGAGAGGAGGAAAAACTTCAGGAACACAACACCTCATCATGCAGTGTAGTCAGATCTACAAGACAAACTTCAGTACCTTTCTTGACACCATTGCCCAGCACAGGCCAATGAACACAACACAACTCTTACTGGGCCATAAGCCGTGCATACACACAGTGGTGGTCGGCCTGGCGTCCACACAGTCCCGCCTTGCCCTACGAAGAAGCCAGAGCAGGTAGATCTCTCCGATGATGCCGATCACACTCGCTGTCCCTACTCAGTGTAACTCAGGCCCCAGCCTGCATGGTGCACATGCTATTCTGTTACATTTTTCGTCATTCGGCCCAGTAAAAAAACTGTGCAAAGCTCCCTTTCAAGTGCGCATTATCCAGTGTTAACATCTTCGGACGAAAATTCAGTTCACTGTCACGCTGACTTCTCCATAAGGCAAGGCAAAAGTGCGGCGGGACAAAACGTGGAAATGCGGAACACTGTCAAATAGGACTACAAGGTACAACAAAAACGGGAAGAGGTGCAGCGGCAACTACGCTGGGCGCCTTGGAAGAAAACTACCATAAAAGAGAGCACGGGGCTTTTGAAACAGCTGCAACGGGGCAATGCAGGGAGAGAGAGCATTGCGTTGGGCTCAATCTATAAACGTTCCCTTCGAGTCATGTGTCCAACACAAAGGAGACAAAAAGTTCGGCGGCAGCGACTCGTTGAATCAAAAACTCAACAAAGAGGGATGGTCAGGATGACTTCATATCTGGTAAATTCTCGAGCACTGATGCAGCAGACATCAAATGTGAACGACTCCTGTGCACTTCTCCGACCCAGGCACGAGCCTGTCCTCGACCGACGCCGGAACAAACAACGGGATGCTGACACTCTTCTCGCCGCTATCTCCGTTCTTGTCGTCGTGTTGCGACGGTGAGCGGTCACGTCCCGAACCAAGCCGCTGCTGCTGGTACTGGTGGACGTCCGGACGTAGCGGAACGCCGGCTTCTGCCGGCTCTGGTGCTATTTGGGAGCTGCGCAAGGCCTTGCCACACCTGGACACAAGGAAGCCGAATGGCCAGGGAGAAGGATTCAAAGGAACCATCAATGTCAGCAGCACTACAACTCCGACATGGGGGGGGGGGGGGGGGAGGGGGGGGGGGGGCAGAAGCAAGGCAGGACACAGGACAACATACGTCACACCCCACTTTAGGTAGCACAGGGCACCTGTCTACTTCTAGTGTGTTTATACAAGTAGCAGTCAAAAATGACGACACGAACATGGTCTCACTGCAGCGCGTGTGTACAACGAGGGGCGCATCATCTCGCTTTTTCCGCTGTCATTATTATCTTTTCCGGTGGGACCACTGAGAAGTCTTTCTCCCTGTACTCCACTGCCTAACAGGTTGCGAACATGAAGTGGCAGGACCAAAATTTTCAGAGTTTTTTTCAAAACGAGAAACAAGAAGAGAAAGGAAGAATACGGAAGAAACGGCCGTCGAGGCATTGCCCATTGGTGGAGTGAAAAAAATAGGAGATAAACGGCAATGTGACGCAAAGTGGATGCCTCACAGATACTGTAATCTGGCGCAAGGTCAGGCCAAAAACCTGCACTGCACAGAGATATATTTGAGGATCTGATGAGATTACGTTGATTGCAAACAATGCACGGCTCCGTAGCTAGCCTGAACACGCAAGAAACGGCAAAGTGCCGAGTAACACAAACAACTTGAACTACTAAAAAAAGGGAGAAAATGGAGTACGGCTCGAACTGAAAAGGAAACGAAACTGGGGACTGCTCAAAATTGGCCGCAAAACACGGTAAGAAACCATACCATACAGTAATTTAAAAAAGAAAAGGGAGGCATACATTGTTTGGCAGGTTGCTAAACTAGCTCAAAGGCTGCTTGCCACCAGGAAAGGGACACTACTAAGTTACCGCTACAAGTGGTTGCGTAAGATGAAGCAACCACATGTACAGAGGAAGTGGAAAAGCCAAAAACAGAAAAAACGAGAGAAATAAAAACAAGGAAACGGAATCACATGCGGAGGGAGAGAATACGGCAACGTGCAACACTAACTTGTCCTATTGTTTTTCTTTTTTCTTGGGGAATTGTAACAGTGTGTTTGCTAGCAGTTGGTGACCAGGGGAAGCATGCAAGTGGATGGGTGACAGCTATGACTGATTTTGATGGAGCGTATTTAATGTGGGCATGCAGACCATACATGCACTACAGATGTGTTATACATGAGCAGAGCGAAACTTTTTTTGTAGGATTTTGCATTTTTTTTGTGGCAAAAAGTAGGAGAGTGGCATGCAGGTGTCTGTCGAACTTCGTGCGGGTCGAGCAGCCCCTGGCGAAGAACATGACAAAGGGACTTGGGAAAGTGCAGTGCTCAAATATGCACAACAACATTAACAAAGGGGAGAATGGCATGCAGCAAGCGCAGTGTGGAAAGCATTGTGATGGCGCGTGTGTGTGCATGTGTGCGTAGCGTGGAACGCATTGTGAGCATGTGTGTGTGTATGTGTGTGCGTGTGTGCGTGTGCATGTATCTGTGCGTGCGCGCTCGTGTGTGCATGCGGGCCGATAGTCATAGACATAGGGCAACATGCAAACGGAGAACCGGGCCAATGGGATGGTGATGGCAGGTGCAGCTGAGCACGTCAGCCAGAAGAACTGTGGCCTAGTTTCAGATAGGCTTGCCCGAGGCCCTGGGGTACGGGAAGAGGGACAGGAAGAAAGAAAAAAAGAAACAGGGAAAGACAGACAGAATGAGAGAGCAGGAGTGGTTGCTGACGGCTGAAGAAGACCGATGATGACAATACAGAGGAAAGAAAGGGAAGGAGGTGAGGTCGAAAAAGGATGGAAGGAAAGCGTCAGACTTAGCCTACCATGTACATGTACTGCTGGGTTGTGGGAAGTGGCCTTACAAGGCATGCCCTCCTACCATGTACAAGTACTGCTGGGTTGTGAGAAGTGGCCTTACAAGGCATGCCGTTGGGATGTCTCCACTCTATTTGTTGCGCTTTTTCTTTGTTGGATCTACCATTGAGTACACGTCTCTGGGAGGTGCAGGTGAATCCGTAGCCGGGGACTCCAAATTTGGTGGTGGCAGTTGGTCGTCAGCGGCTGTGCCCTGGGCCGCGTCAGGAGGAGGCTGTGTAGGAGTTGTTGCCAGTGCTGGGGCCTGCGGTGCAAGGTTGGTTGAATCGACCGTCGAGTACACATCCGGTTTGGGCACCGCAGGTGAAGCCGAAGCAGGGGCAGTGACTACGGCAGCGTTCGGCAAGACCTTGCCGATGTGGTCGTACGTGCTCGGGTCGGGACCCTCACCAGTCGGTTCAGTGTTGAACGTGAACGTGTCGTAGGTGTCACCGGCCGGGTCCGCACCAGGCTTGGCGGCTGTTGGTGGCAGGGCGACGTCGTACTCATTCTCGGCCTCTCCATTTGCTGCCATCTGACCAGTGGTATTTGTGCCCTGTGCTCCCAGAGCAGTGGTTGCATTGGGTGGAACGACGTCGTAGTCCCCTCCACTGGTCAGGTGGGCGGGAATACGATTCATCGGGACCGTGGCAGGAACGTTGGGATCGTGTGGCGGTATAAAACCCCTCGCCCTGTTCTTCTTGTTGATCTCAATAAGGCCAGTGTCTGGGTCGAGAATGGGGCCACTGCATGTGTTACGCACACATACACCAATACATAATGCCACAGCACGGAGAAACCAATGCAACTGGTAACATTTTAAAGCTAAAACACCACATTATAAGCATGATATTCACCCTTTTTCATGTGTTGTACCTCACGTACTGTAGTACATGCACTGGGGCCATGGGATGCAGAGAGGGAGCAGTGCTTCACAGTCGCAGCATAGTACGTGTTTCCCCACTTATACATGTACAGTCAACTTTGCGTATAATGACACTCGGCGGCGGCGGGGCATCAGAAAAGTGTCCTTATACCCGAAGTCTCATTATATGTGTTACAGTTGGATGGGACTTTGCTCTGGGCATGGAAATTCTGTCGTTATTTGCGAATTGTCGTTATATCCGCAGTCATTATTAGCGAAGTTGATTGTACTTTGAAGTACATTTTGCTAGCTTATCTCGCCACTATTCGCAACACAGTGATAAATTTCACCCTGCTGATGCGTTCTTTTCGCTTTGATGCGTTCTTTTCTTCCGATTATTATTATGTTCTTTCCTTTTTTCTTTCTTTTTCCTTCTCTTGCCATGGCTGGATAGCGCCCTCTCCTTTGCATTGGCTTCTGCCATTGGACGGTGAAATAAAATAAAATAAATAAGATGTTGTTGTGCAGATATTTGACATAGTTTTGGCGTTGGGGGCTTTGTTGACCTCAGGCAAGTGACACTACATAACTTGATTTTCATTTCGGCTCGCACCGTCAATGGCCTGCTAAGTTAAAATTCCTTGTGAGACGGTCTTTTCTTGCCACCAAGTCGCATCCACTTTGCAGCACTTTCTCCGGGATGGTGCGTCATTGCACAACTTCTGTAGGAGGTTGTAGTAAGATCGCTGTTTACAGGAGGAGATCTCTTCCTGCAGCTAATTTCAATTTTTATCTCGCTACTCTCATTACTTACTGGCAAGAGTACATAACTCTACAGAGTTTTCAACCACCAATGGTTGCTGTCGCCACTACTCATCTTTAGAAGACAGGTCATGCTGCACCCCGTGAGGAGCATGGGGGGGGGGGGGGGGGGCACTACGTCTTTCTGCCTTCGTTCAGCATGCGCATGTTCGGGCCAAATGACGGGGACCACAGAGTTCAGTGGCTGCTGGGAAGTCAGAATCGAGTGCCAGTGTGCCAAGTTCACGTTTACCTGTAGCTAGCTGTATGTGTGCTGCATAGCTGTACACTGCAATTTCTTACTGCTGTAGGTACGGACTGATTCAAGAATATTTTCAGCTATGTACCACTAAAAGCTGGACCAGATACGTAACTGGAATAACTCCATTCCTCGTGATCTAATTAGGCCCTATGTATTTAGATGCGAAGTCAACCGTGCAGAATGAAGTTTCGAGCACCGTCAGGCGCATTGCACCGTGAAAAAATGAAATACGTCAAAAATGAGTCGTGACTGAAGCCTTTGTGGAGTTGCACACGCTGTGGAGTTACGCACTATTGATACGCTCTTGTCGATCGAGCTGTACTCGTACTCCAGGCTCTGCTGTCCTTGCCTGCCAGTACTCGCGATTGGTATTTATCTCGCTTACACTTTCATTTCGGCAGAGTACTGTCGTGGACATGGAAATCCAGTCGACTGACTGGGGTCGGCGCCCTCAGCGCGTACAGAACGTTGCATGCAGTGCACATGTTGATCCGATGCGACCAGCGTGCTGCAGCGCATAAATGCATGTGTACAGCTTACCCACGCCTGCATGGCCAGCGAGCGCCCTGGGGCCGCTAGACGTGCGACCGGACTTCCATGTCCACGACTGTAGGACTAAACAAACTAAGTTTAACGTTTGGTACTGCATGCAGCACAGGCTAGGAACTTTGCCCCGTTGATGATGTCACTTGAGTATTACTATTACCACTCTTACACTGAACCCTTGGCTAGGCATGTACATAAGACACAATGAAGACATAACATTATTTTTAAAGTGAGAAAAGTGACATTTCCTTACCTCACACACGTCAGATCCATTGCAATGCTGAAAGAATAAATGCACTGAGGGGAGGGGTCGGCAAGGGTACATAGCCAGGAGTGTGCGCAACGCCCACCCTACATGGTCTGCTGCGATGGACTCGCCAAGGGCAGAATTCCTTTATTGAGGCCACTTTTCGGCGGCAGTATGATCAGATGTGTACGCCTTTCCGCACTATTCATGCTACGTAGTCAGTTCCACCAGTTTAGGAAGCATACATGCATCCACAAGATCTGCTCCATTGTGACCATTGCAACGGCGATGGACGTCTTCTTTGCCCTTTCGATCTCTGGCTACGCAAGATAGCAACAGTGAGCCTAATTACTGCGAAAGACTGTTGTCATTTTTAATACGAACAATATTCTGCCGTGGGCTAAGGGATCGCCGAGCTGCACACTCTTGGTTACGTATTTCTGGTGCCAGCAAACAGCTGCCTTGTTTAATCTACTATAGCCTGTATATGTCTACCCAGGTGACACCATCAACAGGGTATTTTAGCAACTAAACACATCCTATAGATGCTGGTTTCATTCAACTGCAGGGATCGATTTACTTTGATTTTTTTCGCATAGCAGTCACTGCCACACAGTTTTACAATTGACTAGCACCTCCCAGTATTGATTAGCACCTCCCAGTATTGATCAGCAGTTTTCTTTCATCAAAAGTTTCCATGCAATTCTGTACAATAGCAGGATTATGTACAGAAGAGGACAATAGCTGCAGTTGCTATTTGCTTTTCCAAGCGAACGGTTGACCTGAATATTTACGTTAGGGTTTTCGCTTGGGCTCGTTACATGTTCAGCGTCTGTCCAACTTCGAGTTCTTCACAACACAATGTCCTTCAACAGGGCAGTTCCACTGATTCCTTCGACAAAGAAGCTCAGGAAAGCGCTCAAGCGATCGTGACACTTCATGCAAAGTGCACAGAATTTTCGCTTTTCTCCTTTTCTTCATAAAAACGAATCGACACCCCTGGCGCATCCAGTTCTTTTCCCACTTCTGGACAGTGATCAGATTCACTGCCATGTTGGCTACATGAGACTAAGACCGGAGACTAAAAACCATCTACTTCAACTGTGTCTTGTCGAACAGAAACAAACTGAATTGAGCTTGAGAACTTCAGGGAAAGCCGCCGCCATGTACAAAACTTCAAAAGACTGCAGTCATGCACGACCAGTGCTAGTGCAGTGTCCAAAATCTTAAAGAGCGCGATCCGCGACCCCCGCGCGGACTGAGCAGGACAGTCCAGTTAGTTGGAGTAGTAAAATACTACTCCCTAGTCAGCAGTGTGTACAACAGTCGCATGTAAACTGCACACAATCAGTACAGAAGGGTCTTTGTACATACCGCTATGCATGACCAGTGCATCGCAGTTTTGGTTGGAGAAAACGAAAAGCGAATCGCAGCCAGTGAATTTTGATTCGCAAACTGCGATGCGAACCCGGATAAATCAATCCCTGAATTGGATACCACACTTCCGTGGAACAATGGCTTGGGGTGACGTTAGCCATTGATGGGTCTCAATGAATTTCTGAGTTGTCCTTTCGACGAAAAAATCTGCAGTCTACAAACTGAAACCACCCCGATCCAGAGGGATGCAGAGACTGGAAACGGCACTGTTAGATACCGGTAAGCCGATTTTACCTACGCATGTGCAGGTACTCCGGCTTCAAAACGTACAAAAGCTTTTGTCTGAGCTGGTTACAACCGTGGACTGTACGCACGGTGTCACTGAGGGCGTGACACATCGGACACCAATCGCCAAGCCCATGCATGTAACACATGCATAGGTTGCCCTGCCAGCAGGCCAGTGTATTGTCGATGCACTCATATCTCTCTTATCCGGGCAGCCCCCGGGGACCGGGCACTGTCCCTAACTTGGACATGTCCCTAATTCTGCATCATGAAGGTTTTGATGGGGAAGGGCCAGAGATCTTGCATATCGCATCACTCTTTCCACAAATATTGGCAAAGGAGTAACAATATTTCCATAAATATTGGCAAAAGAGTAACAATTTTCCACTAATAGTGGCAAAAGAGTCATAATATTTCCACTAATAGTGGCAAGAGAGTAGCAATATTTTCACGAAAATTCACCCATAGGGTGCCCGGGTAGACCGAGGTACCCGGAATTTGGAGGTCTGCTTGAGTGAGATAAGAGTGAACAAGATTTCTTGTAATCTTTTCACGTACAACCTAGCCATGCGTGGGTGTGTCAGCTAACTATTGTTTGATTTGTTTGTTTGAAGTTTTATTTAAAACATCGCACACCAAACGGGCATTGATGCCCAATATTATGATGGCGATAGAATAAAGAAAGAAATGTGGCTATTAACGCGCTAAGCCTGTCCTGTTCACGTACTGCGCGATCAGGCTCATTTCCCCAAAAGATGTCCTTTCACCTACAGTGATTTCAAGTGAGTGCAATGTTGTACAGACCACTGTGCACAACACAACAAGTCTGCAGAAAACAGTCGAATCTTAACCACTGACTGCGTATCGGAAAGCTAATGAGCAGAGATGTCCAGAACTATACGGTTGGTAGAAACTGGACGCGAACGACAAAGTTCGAATTGCTGCAATTCCTGAAATTTCCTCAAGCGAAGTGTGCATATGGTGCTGTTCAGGCACCAGCTTCCTTAGTCTACTCCAGCTCAACTGACAGGCGAGGGGAGAGGATTCCCTGCAACAATGCATTGACCTGGGAGTGGTTGTTGCAGTGATGGAAGGTCTCCTGAGTCAATGCCTCGACGAGTATCGCGTGTGCTCTGGATGGCAGTTTAAAAGGAGTCGATGGGAAAAGCGCTAGCTTGAAATAATGCGAGGAATTGGCTTTCCTACTAATTCTACCGAGGTTGTTACCCCTAACTAATAGGGTCTTCCTGGGTTACCGATGGTCTTTTTGGAATTTTTGTATTTTCTATAAAACCCTTTCTATCAGCATGGTGCAATCATACAAACACTAGTAAAAAAAATTCTGTTCGCATGCTTCCGGCATACTTGACTCAATGGACAGGCAGGGGGACATTTCATTGCTCATGGTGTGTATCCACTATCCAGGAGTCCAAACACTTTCCTAAACCACCAACAGTAAAGGGAAAAAAACAACGCGTGGTAGCGGGTTCATAGGGTACACCTGCCATACCAAGAACTAGGCCAGTCAACAATAATTCCCTACCTCGGTTGCTTCTTGATCACCAAGATGATGATAACGACTAGAACGATAGCAAGTACAGCTCCTCCAACAGCAATGCCAACAATAGCTCCAGTTCCAATGCTTCCGTCTGTAGGATCATCAGTGGGAGAAGTATCATTGGACGACGTTATATTTGGCGAATCTATATTTGTCGTATTTTTCATATTTGTCATATCTGATTGTTGACCATTGGTCGGAGTAAGCAAGTTTATTCGCAAGTAGTCGTCGCGTCGTGGGCAGAAACGTGGATGTAGTGGTTTGGGAACCGCACGTTGTGACATTTACGGCAACAAAAGGACATACACGAAAATGAGGAATTCAGTACCAGAGGTCGAGCAGCAACTAATTACTTCTGACATGCTGAGTGGTGTGGTACAGACATACTAGTCGTATACAGAGTACAAAGTACACAATGAGCATGCCACCAAAGCCACATGCACCTTTGCACTGCTAGAAAAAAAGGCTGCCATGATTTTGCCTAATACATGCTGCAGAGAAGTGTTGTTACTGATGTAATAGTCACTTCTGAGCCAGTAGTTGCTGTGACAACTGTGCTTCTTCTGGTAGTCTCCTACGTTCCTATGTGTGCTACACAACTGGCTTTGGGTGACTGGGGCATTGGCATGCTACAAGTAAATATACGCATTTTTTAGTAGTGTTGTGCTCCAAGTTTGCCCTTCAAGAGAACTAAGAGATCTGATGATAATGATCAAATACAATGGGAACCACACAATACATAAATTGGTCATAACGTGTTTTCAACTCGGTGCAGTGATTGCTGCGTTCAGTGCAAGTGCACGGTAAGGCTGTAAATGGAATAGAAGTTATAGAACTTACCCTTGGGCGTTGGATCCGTACGATTGACTTCTAACCCAGCAAAACACGCACATAGACACCAGCGTCACCACGCACATGCATTATAGACACAAAGACATAGATACAAACACTACACTCAAGACCTAGAGCACAACTACATGTGGACCATGGAAAACACATAATGACTTTGTCAGAACACTGATATCAATTATCAAGCTGAGATCTAATGCCGTTTCAAAGTTAACTTAAAACTTTTTTCAGAATGTTTGCACTCTTACTGAGACTGCTGTGACTGAAGAAGAAGCAACAAAAGCGTCAGTTGAGGTTTAACCCTTTAGGCTGTGATGATATGCGTCAAAACGTCACACCTGATTCCCCGATGCCGCATGTGTGCATCGTGTAAATGGGCCAGGTGTCCCTAGTAATGTTTTGGCTCAGAAAGCACTATAATAGTCCTCTCGGAGCAGAAATCTCATTAGCCGACCTGAGCTCAACTGATATGGGGTGAATTCCCCGAAACACTGTTTATTGAGCAGGGCGGTGCTTCTTGCAGGTTTGCCGAGTGGAAGGTATGGCTGCTTCTCGTGTGCTCCAGGTGCAGTCGTGAGTCAGTCAAGTGTCAAATCAGTCGGCATGAAGCGCGAGCTCTAACGTTTGGAGTAGCCACAGGACAATTGCTGTCTTAGCTATTTTGCTTCATTCCCTAGATGAGCCCAATGATGAGAAGGAAACAAAACGTGAAACTCTCGCTATCTCTTCTAGACAGGTGTGGATTACGTAGATGCATGACCTGCATTTAAAAACACCAAAATAGTAACAGTAATAATTATGGTTTATTGCCACCAGGTCGTCAAAATACTCAACCATGATTCTTCCACAAAATCTCTGGCTAGATCGACAGAGTAGTGGTAAAAATTCTAAAACGTAAACCTGTGCTACAGACTTCTTACTTGTGCAAACTGGTAGGTTAGACAGCGTCCCGTTTCGCAGACATGTGACGATACTCCCATTTCCCGTTGAAGTGTAGTTAACAGCGCAAGCTATAATCATAGACTTATTCACTTCCATTCTTGGAATATTGCTGACAGTGAAGTTTAGGTTTCGAGCGGCGCAATGGGTGGCTGAAAGAGGGAATGGACAGAGAGCAATAAAAGTAGAAGCACACCCTGTCAACAGTGCTAACTAAGGAAGTACACACATAAATTGACATAATACACCATGGACACATGAGGCATCGGCAGCAAGAACCGGGGTTCTAGCGATTTTTCAAAATGCCAATATTTGCGAAAAACCGAACCGATGCGGTTTTTTAGTCACCGCGATCTAAGCGAAAAGTCTTCTTGCGCTATCGCTTTGAAAGTGCCTTCTTCTTGGTGACTTCACCATAATTTGTCGTCGTCGCCGTTGTAGTTTATCCGCCAGGCACTTGGGACGTTCATGCGGTCTGGGTAGCGCCTGCAGAATCATGCGCTCGAAAGAGAGAGAAACAAATGAGCCCGGATCAGCGAAACCATCGCTTGTGTTTGATATCAAGTTGATCAAAAAGTGACGTTGAAGTCGAGCGAAAGAAAAGTCGCGGACCTAACAACTACCCATCACCTTTCTGTCTTTCTTGTCACTAGTCTTTCTTTCCGCCTGACAAGCCCGTGTTTGTTTGTTTGTCAGTAACTAGCTAGCTAGGCAAGCCCCAGGCAAGTGAGGAGACACGGCTAGGAAACCCCACGTACCTGAGCTTAGCTGGCGAATAGGTACGATCGCGGGGCGCGAGCATCGCACACGCATCGATTGTCGTTGACGCCAATCACGACACGACATTTTTTGGTGATGACTGGAATGGCGATTGCTCATCAAGAGAGTCAGGTGAAAGCCGACAGAGCTCCAGAGGACCACTCTCTCCTGCCGCAAAGCGACTCGGCGAGGCTGCCGACTTCGTGTAGAAGAAAGCAGCGCTGATGAGAATTACGACGATTCGAGTGGATATTGTTGAACGATGAACGACTCCTTCACTAGTAAGTTTGTCGGATATCGACAGTGACGATGCAGAGCAAAGGCGTCTCGATTCACGACTGGAAGAGCAACGAGAGCTAGCGCCAGACAAGATCTGCTTCGTTGGCTGGGACGCTGAGCAATTTGAAACATTTATTGGGTCTATGCAGCAGCTCCCAAAAAAATTCAAAAAATATGTTCCTGTAGGGTCAGGTAACCGTTGAATGTATCTGCACCTAGTACGTACCTCATGCTCATGAGCCTGTGTACTGAGCAGTCACAGCTACTGTGACTGATTGCACTCCGTGTGTGCAGATATGTTTTCATGGAAGTGAAGAGCTTGGAGAGCATCAGTACAGAACCTGGTGTGGATGCAATATCAGCCCCTGGAACTTGGCCATATGCCGTTAGCTGCGCGATAGTCAGTGAAGCCAATGATTTACTTGGACAAGCCAGTGTCTGAGTACACCCCCAAGGACTATAAAATTCCTCCTTGTTAGCCGGCTGAGTGATGGCAATGCCTGACAGGATCAGACACATAACAACGCTCATACTACACAGAAATGCCACTTCCAACATTCGCCATACAGCGATGTGGTGTACCGCATTTTTTGATCACTTACGGTGCTGCGATTGATCTAAAATTTCTTGAGACTGGTTATCAGTGGTTGTGGATCAATTTGGAGCACAAAAATAATTTTTGAAAATTTTGCACATGTGATGGTTTTGCTGATCCAGGCTCAAATAATTATATTCTTGGCGAAACGACCCCGTCACAAATAATTCTTGATGGAGCACGAGCGACTAAAATGTTGACAGCTGGATCTCCAGAGATTCTCCGCTGCCTGCCATAGTCCACAGCAAGACGAATCAGGTGAAAGTGACAAGGTTTCGCTCAGATGACAAGCCATCAGCGGGGGCACCGCAGGCAAGGAGTTTGAGAGCTTCGTCACACGACGTGGTGACGCGGACAACCGCGCTGAGATGCAGAATGAGATGCAGTACTTCGTGGCAACTATTCGCAGCTGGATGAGTTGGTGAGATACGGAGACAGCCCCGAATGAACTAAACCTTACTTGATACAAGAAGGTTTGTGAAAAAATTGTTGCAAGTATACATGCACTCTTGTTGTACGCGTGAAATTCATCACATTATAATGCATGTATCTACGAGCTGCTGGCGTAGGAGAGCAAGATATGCTTGGTGGATGTTTCTGGCTTGGCCAAGCATGCATATCTAGTCTTGTAGGTTCTTCCCAGCCATGTAAAACGTGGAGTGCCAGGCTTCTTTCTGTCTGACAAGTCTGTGTCCAGCACCAGACTTGCACATGACAGGGATTGAGTTTTCAAGTTCACAACAGCAAGTCCAGGCAATAAAATTACACTTTTATTAACTATAGCACTCTGTGTTCCCCCTGAAGACCCATAAATATGCTACTGGTAAATTATTTTCAACAACTACATACAGAGCCAACGGTATCTGCGTTCCATTTTGCAATTTTGCTGATCATTTTCGTCGACCTTAACCCATGATTTCGGGCGTTCTTTACCATCTTGGAAGGTGCCCAGAGCTCCAAAATTTGGCCCATAGATCACTCATTTAGTGGACAGTTCAAAGCCATCAAAACCTCATTTTCGCCAAAACAGCCGTATACATAAATGTGGGGCAAGGACCGGACTTTACAGCACCAAACCATGGTACATAGGTACTTACGCACACAGCCCGGAGGAGACCTGATCCAGATTTCATCAGTCCTGCTACATGGGCAACTCACGCCTCGTATGTTGGACATAATGATGTTGGAACAATTGGTAACACTGGCATTGTTGCAGATCATAGAGCAACCTGGAATGCAGCATATAATGCACAAAATGTATTCCAATGAAAATGATTCATCTCTTGATGACAACTATACTTACATACCCATTAGATTTCTTAACCCTTTATGTACTGAAAAAATGTACACAGACTGAATTTGATCTCGACTCACCTCAAATTCCATAATTATCCGGGTCATAACTTTAGTCTCCTTTTGACGATTTTTTCAATCTTGGGCTTCCTGGAAAGCTCGTCGCAAGAGGAACACATTGAGCCACGCTTGCCACCACGAAAGTCAAAACGCCAGCGCTACAGCCCAGCGCCCAGCGTCTTAGCAGCAACGCCAACATTCCGACAGAAGTCGTCTTGCATCAGCCATTTCGCTCTCCTTGCTCGTAACAAGTAACTGTTACTTCAAAAAAAATTCACAAGCTGCCACGAGTCAGTTTGCCATTTTGAACGTGTTTCTACGTCACTGCATGCCCAGAATGACGGGGAAATCCCTCATTCAAATCTGCGCGAGCAGCTATTGAGCGACATTTGCCGCGATTCGACTTTCGAGCTTCGTAACTCTGAAACCACACATCGGAGCGCTTCAGCGATTATTTCAATGGACAGCTGGGAGTTTTCTCTTCGACCTACATATTTTAGTTTTCGGATATAACCCAGAAATGACTGAGTTACGATCGATTGAAATTTTGAAAAGTTTCGATCCCAGGGAATCGAAAGTTGTACAGTCCGTACACAAAGGGTTAATTTCCCTGTACTTGGCAAGCACTCCCTATCCCATCCCCTCTCATGAACATTTAAAAAATAGCAGCCACCGTGTACCCAGTGTGCTGACAGTGCTCAACACCGCGGAGGCAGAGCGTACTACGGAACAGAACAACAAGGACAATCAAGGTTTGTTTGCTGTGACTTGAAGTTTCATGCTCTCGCAATCATCAGGCAACATGAAGGTTGGGTGCCGACCATGCCAGTATATGTCAGGAGAAGGTATGAAAAGCTGTGAGAATGTGGGGGCTAGCGGTGTTATCTTAGGCAGGAGGCTGTGTGCAGAGTGTGTGGTTGTTGAAGGCAGGGCTAACAGTGCAATGTTAGCGCAGAATGTGTGGCTGGTGTGGGCAGGAGGTGGTGAGCAATGTGTGTGGATGTTGTAGGCAGGAGGCTATAGTCTAGAGCTAGCAGTGTGATATTAGTGCAATGTACATGTATATGGCTGGTGTGGGCCGGGTATTATGAGCAAGGTGTGTGAGCGTGAATGGTGTGGGCAGGAGACTGTGGAGACGTATTTAGGTGACACTGGGGTATTTTAGGAGATATTTGTTCTCGTGTCGGCACTTGGATGCCATTTCCAAGCGTTTGTTGAGGCTGGATGGTGACCCTAGCGTGTTCAGGATGTGGAACCTTTCTCTGGTACAGAGGGAACAACGCTTTGTGATGTTGGAGTATGGTCGGGCGCGATCTTTTATCCTCCATTCAACTTCGTACGGGGTGTTGGATTTCTTAAAATAGCAGCCATAAACCATACAACTACTAAATGAGACACGGATGTGCAACTGGTAGTAGCTACAGCTTCATGAAAGAAAAAGCTGGCGAAGCTCATTTCAAATTCCACAGTGTGTACTACATGTACTACTACTGAGTCACTAGCACTTGAAGTACGTTAGTGAAAGCAACAAATAGAACAGCACAGTATGCGTGGTATGTAAAGGCTCTCCTAAAGAATGCTGATGTGTTCCCCTCCTTTTCTCTCTCCCCCCCCCAGGGGGTTATGTACTCTTGGTACAACAAGGCAGGGAATACTTGAGAACGGGTTTTATTCACAACACCAATCGCGTGAAACCATGAAGTATGCTTTTTTTGCGATGCGACACGCGATGCGACGTGATCTGCGACGGACGCGTGCGATGCGAACTCGCGAAATACCATTCACAGAAGAAGTCAGCGATGCGACGATGCCTTGCTGATTTGGCGCGAAGTTCAATGCAGGTGGGTACATCACCATGGTAATCGCGCGGTTTGGTACAACTTGTACAAATTTATAGGCAACTCTTGAACCTTTGTACAACTTTGCTGTAGAAAAGGTCAAAATCGTACGCCAAATCGCTTGTCGCATCGCAAAAGTTGAGCCAAGCTCAACTTCTGCGATGGCCCAGTTGCGGCAGTTGAGTGGGTGCGAGATGGCTGCGATTTGGGGATTTCCTGGTTTCGCGGCTGTTGCATCGCGCGTCGCATCGCAAAAAAGCTTCTGTGAATCTCGCTTTAGTGCTCATGCATACCTGCCAAGTATCCAGATTTTTTCAGGATTATCCCGCAATTTTGGATGAACTCCCGCGATCCCGAAATTCCTGTCGATTATCCCGAAATTCACTGTACAAGAAACAAGCTTGATATTGTACTTGGAGCACTTCAAATGACTTGTCACAGGCCAGTAGTTGTCCTTATTGATTCCGGACCACCATAGCCTGCAGTACCCGTCAGGCGAAATTACTGGTCAGTCGGCGACACGAATTTTTCACAAACATTTGCGTTTCACCTGCTGGGAGAGTATGCGTGTACTCGAGTCTCATCCTGAGCACGTTTTTTTCTTCTTTTTTTCAGCTCCAGTATAGCTGTATTTTTCATTGCAAAGCCGTCCCGAGTCGATTGTTGTGTTCGTTGTTCAAATGAAGTGGACATTCAATCATGAAGGCAGAAGACATAGGAGCCTGATTGGAGTTTCTCGTGGCATAGGACGGCCACAGACGAACTGTTGCTCTCCTCGCCACTCCACACAACAACAAAAGACTCGTGCACACTGGGAGAGAGCGTTTTCTCTAACTTGCTTTCAGTAAGGTGACGGGAGAACTCATGGTTATCAGACAATTAACACTGACAACGAACGACGGACGACTGACACTGAGACAAGACTAGACAACAGAATATATTAGATTGAAGGCGTACAACGGGGACAAGACGAGCAAGTGTGTACCAACGGGGACAGAAGACGGTGCAGCCGCATGTACGCAGGAGTCAAAAACAGCGCAGCAGCATGTACCACGACTCAGCAGCATGTACAACAAAGAGACACAAGCGCAGCCAAATGTACGACAAAGAGCTACACGTGCAACCGCATGTACAACGAAGAGACACAAGCGCAGTCACATGTACAACACTACCCCCCATCAAAAAAAAACATCCACTCCTGTGGATGGAAGCAATCAAAACAAAACAAGAAGAAAGACAGAAGAAAAAGAAATCAAATGTGAACAACATACACAGGAGAATAGAAATAAAACATGCCGGGCCAAAACAGTAAGAGACGTAACTCCGGACAACGGGGAAAAGCCAAGGCACAAATGTGTGAAAAGAAAACAGACCGGGCCCACCCATAGAGGGAACCGCCATACTTTCAGGCGTGGGCCGCCAGGAAGTAACCACGTTGCCCTGGTATGAAGCCAAGGCAAACCGATGGCACTGCGAAGACCGCGGCAGCTGAACCGGGTGACCAGGCATCTGGAAGCACAGGAGTTGTCCGGAAAACCATCACGCAGCAAACCATCACGCAGCCGATGGGGCTACGAAAGCTCACAGAGACAGAAAGACACACACAGAAAGAAACACGGACTGACGCAAACATCTCAGCCATCGCCGAAAATCAGAAAAGCACACGAAGGAAGGGAAGAACAGCCAGGAAGAACACGTCGACTGAAACAGGAGCAATTAATCAGTGAGGACACCATTGAGGACACACAAACAAATCGGTTACCAATACGCAAAAGATAATGAAGAAAAACCACAGGGCGCTACCCTGAAAAACCCACAGGTCTCTAACCTGAAAAAACCCCACAGGGATCGAACCTGAAAAAAACACAGGGATTGAACCTGAAAAACCCACAGGGATTGAACCTGAAAAAACCACAGGGATTGAACCTGAAAACCCACAGGGATCGAACCCGAATAACACGGAACTTATAGTACATCCGCTCGCAAAACCAAAAAACCGAAGAAAAAACTGTCAGGCACCGACTGGGGCACACAAGGGCCAACCAGCAACACACGGAAACCATAACACCCGCAAGGCAAACCGATACAAAAAAGCGCAGGATCCCTGCAGACCACCAGGCAGACCGTGGCTCACCATGATCAGACGCCCACCCAAACGAACTAGAGGGACTACATGCCGAAACACAATTATTACAAAACCATACGCTCACAAAAAAAATTCAACCTGGATCCGAAACGAGAATCCTACATGAAGTTCACACCTCCCACCAAACCGGAAGCCACCAGCTTTCCGACTGGGTGCACAGTGCATGACCAAGCCTGACAACGCTCTGCACGGAACATGGAGAAACTACTACTACTACTAGTGAAACGGTAGAAACACGAAACGAAACAATATGGATCGACTACAAACGAGGCAGCACCTCGAGAACGTTCAGGTGGACATCCAAACAAATCACGCAACACAGTCACAATATCGGAGCAGTCCGGCGGCAACTCGGTCTCCGTGACAAGCACAAGTGCACAACACAAGACGAGATCAAAGCTACCCATGCTGAATGCACGACGAGCAAGCAAAAACAAGTTCCAGATTCGAACGCGTAGCACACGAACAGAAGTTTGAAATTTTCATACACACCACAGTACAGTACAGGGTAGTCAGAGCGACCCAGGAACAACTAACACAACGGGGCGAACGTACAACGAGCAGCAAGACTATTCTACACACTCGAGCACAAGAGAACAAGGTTCCGCGGACTCCCTGCCGGGACCAGAGTCACCCAACGCAAAACAATTTGAAAAAATTCGAAATCGAATACAAGTTACGGCAACACATTACGCAGAGCAGACAATTACAAAGGCATTCTCACCTGAGTAGGCGCTCTCATGAGAGGCTTGGACGTTCGTGAGACATTGGTGGGGCGGCGAGGAGAAGAGGAATACGAGCTGACGGCGACGCGTCGACGAGCTTCAGGGTCGTGGATACGATTTGTTGGGCGCCAAATGTCGTCAGTTTAATCCGACAAACTGTTGCTCTCCTCGCCACTCCACACAACAACAAAAGACTCGTGCACACTGGGAGAGAGCGTTTTCTCTAACTTGCTTTCAGTAAGGTGACGGGAGAACTCATGGTTATCAGACAACTAACACTGACAACGAACGACGGACGACTGACACTGAGACAAGACTAGACAATAGAATATATTAGATTGAAGGCGTACAACGGGGACAAGACGAGCAAGTGTGTACCAACGGGGACAGAAGACGGTGTAGCCGCATGTACGCAGGAGTCAAAAACAGCGCAGCAGCATGTACCACGACTCAGCAGCATGTACAACAAAGAGACACAAGCGCAGCCACATGTATGACAAAGAGCTACACGTGCAACCGCATGTACAACGAAGAGACACTAGCGCAGCCACATGTACAACACAGAGACACTTTGGGATTTTCTGAATATAAAATACCGTACGCACGATGCTGAGATCAATTTGTGCGATATCAAATTGTTTGTGATCTACCACATCAAGCAGAACGGGATCCAAACACAAGCTTACCGACGGTTAGGCTGCCGACCTGACTGGACAAAATAATGATCCCTGGCTTCACCAGACGCGAGAAGTCGGACACCATGTCCTTTGCCGCGACGTCCATCTCCAAAAAGAACTCCATCTTCGTCGTGAAAAGGCTTGAAATACTCAATATCCAACCGAGATTCGCGGTCTCAACCTTTCTCAGATCGAATCATTTTTTGTTGTGGCAGTTGCAGGGCAGATCCCCGCCACTACTTCAACAGGGGATGGCTCTAAAGCATGCCTGGAACAAGCCATATCGAGGTTGCAAGCCACCCCTCTCAGCAAGAAATTCGAAATTTCAATGGTGGAAGATATACTATGAAGAGAATTTCAAAAAGTATGTTTCGCGGAGCGATCGCTCAACCTACGTCATTCAAACTTTGCAGGACGGTGCTAGGCATGGAACCACAGGGGATGATATCATAGCTGACACACAGAGTCACACACACAGCAGATTCGTGTGCACAGATACTAAATTAGTGGCCGTCGTCATCTTCTTCCCGCTGATCTCAACTGTACTATGACGTGCTATTTCGCCTGACGAGTGGATCTACTAGTGCTCCTTCCACGAGCAGTCTCTGAAAAACCTCCATTTTTGAGTCTTGAACATGTGTAAGTGTGATCCGATGATCACCATCGATCATCTATTATCGAAATGTTGGTGCCATCAAAAGTTGAAAAAGGATATTTTGGTAAAAATGTGACATATCCCGAAAAACCAAGGCAAATCCCGCGATTTTGCCATGGCGATCCAGAAAAAAGCACTCTCAGTACTTGGCAGGTATGCTCATGGTGTTTTAATAGCAGATTAGTATTAACCCTTTGAGGTGCCACTGATTTGGCCAAAAATTCACATTTCTACCCACTCCGACAAGAATCACTGTAACTCCACAACCGTTCAACTTTTATATACACATGAGCACATTTTTCGCATCCGAAAAGAACAAGGAGTGGGATGAAAAGGTGTCTACCGCTTTGTTTCCAAGTAATATTGACGAAAATATCAAATTACTATTGGCAACGATAGTACGAACGGTCCAATTCAGCCATCACCATGGCTTCTAAGATATAGTGGTGCAAGACACCGTTTCTTTTCCCAAGTATACAGTCAGATGGGGGCACGCGGCTTCAGTTTGTATGCAGAGGATGCGCTCCGCCGCGCTTCGCCGCGCGTCGAAACGCTGACTACGATCGAGGATAACTCAATATTTTCAGCACGGACCGCGGTTACCCGTTCAGCTTGTTCCCCTATGTATCTACTATGTGTGTGCCAAATTTCAGCCCATTCAGACGATGTACACAAGAGCTGGGAGCATACAACCCACCCCCAGAAAATATCAGTCGTAAATGACTGATGCACCGCAAAGGGTTAAAAAGAAAAGGGATGTGTTTTATAATACCACCATATTGTTCAATCTGGCTAATGATGATCGCCAAAATGGAAATATCAGTTTGCTGAGAACAGACACTGGACGGGATATCCCTTCAGAATTGGAAATTCCCTGCATCACTCGCATACAGACTCGCATACAGACTTACGTTCACACAATGGTTGCCTTGGTTGCCACATTCCATTGCCCTGGCATGTAGACTGGGTTATTGCCATACTATTGTTAGACAGAAAGCCTGGTGCGCACTCGAAGGATTCTGTGGAACCTGGTAGTGTGTCGAAACTGCCATTGAGATCTGGACATAGTGCTGGGAACAAAAAGGCAAAATTCAAGGCGATTACTCACGATAGGTGGAAACCTCAACTATGCGAGTCCTACCATGTTCCTGTAAGTAGAAGCAGACATTTAGTTTGCCCAAGTCCACAAGTGCATGCCAGACCTGCAGCACTTGTCCGTGTTCAGTTGAAAACTATCACCGGTATTCACAGATTTCAATAGGACAAGACTGTATGACATTTGATGGAAGCGAAAAAAGAAAGAAAAGAACAACGATCAGGCGCGTGCGCCGTATGGGTTCCTGGGTGCCCGGAACCCCCCTTTTTTTTCGCTCAAAATGCAGGATTTTGCTTCGTTTTTTGAAATTTTTCCCGGAGGAGGCCCCCCGGAACCCTCCCTTGAAGGGCACCGGCGCACGCGCCTGAGTCGATGCCTTTATATTACGCTTGCTACGGCAAGCGGAACCATCTGGTGACCGGGGCGAAGTGGAACATAGAGGAGGGCCTGGAGAGATCTAGCGGCGCAGAAATCAACGAATGGTGCTAGAACACACAACCAATAGGCAGCCGGACATGGTGAGCTAGACACGGTGTGGACCGATACCAACAATCATGCCAGTGCGATACTACCGCTTGGTGCGATGATCCTGCAAATCTACACATGTGCCGATCTGGAGCCACGGCACCGATCAAAGAGATTATATGAGAGACAGTGCAGGCAGAGTACTGTCATCCAATTCAGTTAAACGTTGCAGCCAGCGAAGTAACGAGCGACGGGTCATGACAAATTACGAGAGTGGATGCCCCTGGAGCTGCTGCGCAGGACAAGGACTGCCATCAACATGAAGGGTGCTCCTCCACTCAAGCAAGCTACGCTAAAACTCATCCGATTTGATGTCGCCATTGCGAGTGGTTTTGAGGACAAACCCTTTCATGGCTTTGTCAGTTATTTTTGCATGACCATTACTTTGTAGGCTGTGTGGCCTACCAATGCAAAAGGAACTCCTGGAACTTGCTAGAACTGAGCTGAGGACCACAGTCAGTACTGAGGACGAATGGAACACCAATGGCAGAAAACCAATAATGGACGCGAACGATGACATCACGGGAGGATGTGATTGGACCAGTGTGTGTGATGCTAGGCTAACCAGTGAGCCGTCGACATAGACCAAGAAGTCGAAATCTTGCCATGAGAACAAGACAAAGGAGTGCCACAGAAAACCTTGTGGACATGGAGACGCGTTTCCTCCGACGCAGGAAGGATCCTTTTAGAGGCGCACAATGAACATCTGGATGTAAAAATGCAGTATAATTCTACTGATGGCAGTGGATATTTTGCTTTCACATGGTGCTTTCCAAGCAACGTGGATGGGTAATGGGTGCTAAACACGCTCCCTAGATCGGCCGTATTCTCACTAGAGAATCACTTGCCTGGGTATGGCACCTGCTGGATGGGAAAAGACTGTGTCATGGAGTGTTTGAATGGGCTATCCACTGCAGTCAACAGTGACAGCGAAAAGGTTAAAACATCTACAGTTGCTACCGCTGGCTATTCGGCACATGCCGCTCTCCTGTCCCAGCCTCCCCACAGCACGAGAATGCAAATATTCAAAAACAATGTTTATCGCCATCTTCGCAGCACAAACTGGCTCTGGGCAGTCGATTTCCTATGAATAGTATGATGCTATGATAGTTTCTCCCCCACACTCGCTCGTGTTAAGCCTTGGGTTTTTTTTCCGCATATTTCTGACCGGTTCAGCTCTATCTTCTTCTTTTTTTCTTTGTTTTTGGTGCGTGTTTTTGGCCGTGACGGCGAGACCTCAGGTCGGCAGAGTTATCAATGCCCCACCATCACTGCTGCGTCTCGGTACAGCGCCTGCTCATTAGTTGTCAGTTTGTCCTAGTCTCCGTACCATTGTCTTTCCTTATTCTTTTCGAGCTGGTTATGTGAACATAGTAAAAAACAAACAAAAAAAACTTCACAGTCACGGTTATCAGCCTAGACTATGTGATTATGGAATATACAAACCTTGGATGGTGACAGAAGAAGTTGTGGATATTATCCGAGTTGCACCCACACATCTGTCAATTACACTTTGTGGACGTGCAGGAGTAGAACCATTTCCAATACAATCAAAGCTTGTAGTATACAATGTTGTACAGGTGACATTGAACGTAACACCTGATGTATCACTTTCTGTGAACATAATCTGGGAATCATTCTGCTGGAAGCTGAACGTTGAGTTCACCATAGTGGCAGGCATAGTTGTCTGTATCATCTGTGAGTCCAGGGATAATGTTGAGTTCCAAGATGCGTTGAGAGGAAAGTTTCCACTTGACATGCATGGCATGGTGTGAGTAGCATCAGTGAAGTTCAGTTTCTGTGATGGAGGCGGTCCTGACTGACTTCGTTGAGCTGCACAAGAAGGACACACCGATACAGTGATGAAAAGCATGATTAGTTAGATTGACCAGGTAAGTATGGTCTATATGGCACCTGAAAAAGACCAAATGCAGAACCGAGCATGCATTGACGGGAAAAGAATTCTTGTAGCATGAAGGAATGCCTGCAGACATGAATCCAGCATAACGTTAGTTAGTGCCGCTGACAATGCAATTTGAACTGAAGAATTTATCAAGATGGCATTCTGTGGGTGCAGATGCGCATACAACGCCCATTTTTGTTGCAATGCATCATTGGCTCTCTTTCCCCGTACTTTTTTCTCCCCATGGTATATTCCTGCGCCTCGCTCTGTACTATGGTTTTTGATCTGAGGTCTGGTTGAAGTGTTACGCCCTGAATTCTGCTGTTCAACTCTATTTGTTGCTCTGTGATTGGGTGTGGGTAAAAACAGTCATCTTACACTCGTGGTACGATGACATGTGTTTCAACTCATCACAATCACACACCACAACACATATTGTCGCATGCACAGCATGTGCCAAAACAGAGACATGCATACCAATGCATGTGACATAAGCCATGGTGGATGGCAAGAAAAGTGCAATATGCACTTGCAATGTATACATGCCTCATGCCCTTGCTGGTTCGTTTGCTGGTTTGTTTGCTGGTTCGTTTGCTGGTTTGTTTGCTGGTTCGTTCGTGCTAAGAAATGTTCATAGAGGGAAACTATTGGTAGTAGTGAAAGTAAACAATACCTACTAGTATGCTGGATTTCTGGGGAAGAAAAGTGAGTTTCCGCCGCAGAAGAAGTGAATTGTCCCTCCATTTACATAGTTATCATACTTTCTTGCCACTCCTCGTGGGTAAGCGCAGGCAGGTTAGACATGGAAGATACCACTCCCGCAAATATAATGCTCTTACTATAACAACATGTATGGACAAATGAAGTCCAGGTACAGGTATCACTCCTTTCTATGTGTGTGTGTGGGGGGGGGGGGGGGGGGATTGTGGATTTTGTTAGTCAGTGGCGTCTCCACGTCTGACGTGTCTTCTGTGGTAAGAACATGCACGGCATTGGTTGTAGGTGCTCAGAGTTCTAGCCAGGAAAAAATGTACGGGGCAGGGGGGGGGGATAAGGGGAACAAAGTTCACCTGTTTTTTTACATCACTGCGATTAATTTTTTTCCATGTTCCACTATTGCATTGTAACAAACAAATCAATATACGGGTTCACAGAGCACCCAGAACGATTGATTTGTGGCCATGTTTTCGCAGTGTGAACTGTAAAAACACAAACATCGAAAAAAATGAGACGCTTGGCATGCTGACAGAGTAGGGTGGCGCACCATCAGATAAGGAGGGTGTGTGTGTGGGGGGGGGGGGGGGGGGTGCTGCTTCCCCCCCCCCCCCCCCCCCCTCTACACCCCTTTAGTTCAACAGCGGCACTTGGCAGTAGAGATCAGACCTGGCCTTCCGCCCACGCAACGGCTACTGGTAGAGGTCTTAGGTGAGTATGGCATTTCTGGTTGGCTGACAACTTCCGCCTGCTACTACAGTACCTGGGACTGTCTTCTGCAAAACAGATTTCTGCAACGCCGTGGGTCTGTAGTGACACTCACCAAGCGATAAGCATGAGCAAGAAAAATACATCTTTCTCTTTGGCTTCAACTTCTTTGTTCCACAGTTGGCCATTGCAGCCTTCGTCTAGGGCCGACGTTAAACACCAAAGCTCTGCACTATGGCCTTCCCCTAGAGGGTTTGCCAACACCCTGCATGTGTTGGAAAGATATGACTGCTGGTAGTCACCACACTATGGCATGCCCATGCGGTGGGTATCCTACTCAGTGTCACAACGAGGTGCGGAACCTGCAGGCTAGTGTGACATCCAGATTTGCATGTAGTGTTGAGTTGGAGCCCGTCCTGCTACTGTAGAACGGCTAATTTTAGCGGGTATTTTTTTGCGTTTTCTGAATCCGGACCAATTCGCACTGAAATATTCTAGCGAAGCCGAGTTTCGGATTTTAACCCTTTAGGGCCCACAATTATTTCAAGAAATGCACTGCATATGCGAGCCCAGTTACTTATCTGGTCATAACTTTGGTGTTCTTTGGCCGATTTTGATGATCTTGAGCTTTCTGGAAAGCTCTTGGCCAGAGGAACACAACGATAGCCAGCAATCCATCACTCGATCCACAGAACCAGCGCCGCAGCGCAATACGGCGCTCCAAGGCCAGCACTGCGAGCGCCCAACTCAAATTCTCTGCCATTTCAAAAAATTGCATCGCAGATCGCTCATTTTTTTAACTGAAGAGCTAAGAAACATGCCTTTGCGATGACGTGAACTATCTGTAGCTGCGTGGGCAGCGAGTCAGGGAAAACCCCTAAAAACGAGTTCAAAATGCACGCGCTCGAGTTGACTCTGCTGAGCGAATTTAGTTCGAGTCTCGTATCTCCACTGTCCGACGTCGGATCGCCTTCGGATTTTTTCGAGCCGATAGCTGAGACAATTCTAATGTCGATAGCCCTTTCGATTGTCCGATTTGGTCAAGGTACGGCCGAGTTACGCCAGGGTGCACTTTGAAAAGTATGCACTGTACACTGGTACGGATATATCCGTGGCCTCAAAGGGTTAAAAAGAAGGATGACTGGTACTAAACTGTAGGTGCAAAATTTCGATTGGTGCCGCAAAACTTTAGTGAAAACACTCCTTTCGCTAAAGTCGCTAAGGGGTCATCCGTATTTTTCGAAAAATTAAAAAATCCGTCCTCAGGTAGGGATCTCAGCGCGTGAACTGCGCAGCCAGTCTGCGCAGGTGAGATTTTCGATCCCAAAAGCGTCCAGTGCAGAAACCGTGGAAAAGAACATTTTTTTTCGAAACGAGAGAGCTTGGAAGCTCAGGGCCCTACGCTATGCTTTTTTTGCCTTGATGACCTAGACAAAAAAAAGCATAGGGATGTTATAAATTCTTTTAAAAAATCCTTTTTTTTTAAGACATAACCTGGGATTCGAACCCGCACTATCGCGCGCCCTGCATGCATCCCCCGATACACTTCGCATACATTTGTTTGTTTGTGTCACGCCTGGCGCTATCCGTATCTACCGGCAAAAAAAGCATAGGATGTTATAAATTTTTCAATTCTCCTATTTTTTTTCAGGCATATCCTGGGATTCGAACCCGCACTATCGCCCTACATGCATTCCCCCATACACTTCGCATTCATACCCATTCTTCCAAGTTGCTTCACGTTGTGCTCTTGCATTTGAAAGCCCTATTTGAATATGCATTGTGGCCAGCCATCTTTGATGGCACGGTACGGTAGGGGATAGGTACGGGACAGGTACGATCGAGGGTAATACGACACCGTCTCCCGTACCGTACCGTACCATCAAACACAGCTGGCCACATACAGCTGCCCGCAATATTCAAATAGGGCTTTCAAACGCAAGATAATAACGTGAAGCAACTTGGAAGAATGGGTATGAATGCGAAGTGTATGGGGGAATGCATGTAGGGCGATAGTGCGGGTTCGAATCCCAGGATATGCCTGAAAAAAAAATAGGAGAATTGAAAAAATTATACAATCCTATGCTTTTTTGCCGTCAGATACGGATAGCGCCAGGCGTGACACAAACACACAAACAAATACCAAATTAAAGCTGTGTGGACCCTGGCTAGCGCCAGACGTTACTGAAGTAACGTCTTCTGCATAGCTACGGGAATAAATCAGGTTGAAGAAGACAGTAGAAATGGCTGAATGTTGCGTCCAGGAAAGCACGTTCTACGGCCATCTCCAAGCCACCTATCTCCCAGACACTCTCTCAGAGGAACTATGGAGGGTCAAAGAGCACAATATTTCACTCTTGGACGCAGCGTGAACACCTCTTCTAGTGAGCGCGATGTCTTCTCTCTGAGTGATAATGGCGGCGATCTTCACGATGGCTGATGCACTGAAAATCGAAGTTAGGACAATCTAACCGGAGAAAACGTCTGAATTTTTGGCTGAATCTTCTCTGAAGTGGGTTCTTGCCACATGGCAAATAATAGGAAAATCGACCGGGGCGATATCGCCTTGGCCACGCTGTCGTTCGGCAGGAATCACAAAGTATGTTCAAACGACGATGAAGATGACGATTCCGCTAGTGTCCACCGCGTCCGCTAGTGTCGAAAATCGACCGTCGCCATTTTCTGCTGTGTCCGCGAGCTGCACTCAAAACTCGATGACGCAATGTAT